TCAGTTCCTTCTAAATTTTAATATAAAGGGAACAATAATTACACAATATAGTTTTGGGGGGGATTCAGGAGATTTCATTTTTAAAAATGTCTATAAACTTCAAAGCACTATAACTATGTAAAGAACAATAAAAGCTGAGAGTTTAGTTATAATTTAATTAGAAAAGTAAAAATGAGAGATGAAGCAACTCTTTAGATGAGAGCTATAAATACATTATATATTAAGGGCAAAACAATGACCTTTTGGGATCACATCGTTCTGGATGAGAGTACAGTAACTGAATCTATAACCATTGACTGCATTGCCACAAATATATTATTATGAAAATTTCAACAATCAGAACTGATTAGTAAAAAAAAAAGCATTTTTAGATTTTTTTTAGGTTTGAGAAATAATATTAGATTTGCAAATGTTTATAATTGGAGAAATACTTGGTTAAAGACAATTCAGTAACAATGCTAACAACATTACTCTATTCTTTTTTATTCTGCAGTGAGCGAGAAGCTAATGAAAGAAAAAAGAATGATGAAGAAAAATCAAAAGCCAAGCCCTCAAATGATGCAAAGGTTATTTCTTAAAGAATACCAAAATAAATATTTTGCTTTTCACCTTTAGAATCTTGCATGCTTCTCTAGTTTTTGGATAATAAAGATACTAATATTTACTTCAAAGAAAATTCATTTTGCCAATATTGTCACTTTGGGTCATAATAAGATTTTTTTTTTCTTCTGGCTTTGAGTTTGATGCTTTTCTTGACTTTGTAGGGAATTCTCCTGGAGTATGTGTCCATTATTGCTTTAGTCTTTCCTCTTTGGGAGAAATATGAATTAAAAAAATAGGGAGTAAAATTTTTGACCACCTCAACTGCATGCGTGATTCTGACACTTTAAATGCTAAATGAGGCTTCAGGAAGCTTATTGACATTGATTGCAATAATTCAGGTAATAAAAACTAATCTCAAGTCTACCCTTTAGCTTCCTTCCTTGATGTCTCTTTTTCTGTTTTCTCCAGATGACTTTCTAAGCATCGACGAATCAATAGTGTGCATGCTATTTGTTTTTCAAGCCTGCAAAGAAGACACCTTCATCTAGTTCTTTAACAGTAATAATCACCTTTGTAGAGTTAGATTCCTTTGAGATTGTCCTTTGGTCAAGAATACCTCATGTGGAAAATGGGGGAAAGGAAGGATGAATGAAAGAAAGAGGGAGATGAGGGAATCCACCAAGTGTTGTTTTGTTTCCCTGAACTTTCAGGACCAGTGCAGAGAGGCTCAGAAAGAAGCAGAGGATGCAAAGTTTGCATGATCTGAGTGTCCCTTGGCCTCTGTTGCAAGGATTAGTGCAGTGAGTCTGAGCCCAGGGCCAAGAGAGGATATCCTGAAACCAAATTTGAGAAAATCACCCAGCAAAACAAGGAAAAACCATGTTCGCTTTCCTTTCTCATTTTCTAGGATGAGTGCAGTAATTTTCGGAAGTATGTGAGGAACAATGAACTCATCTGTACTCGAGAGAATGACCCAGTGCGTGGTGCTGATGGAAAGTTCTATAGAAACCAGTGCCACAAGTGCAGAGCTGTCTTGTGAGTAAGAGGATTC